CTTACAGGGTACATTATGATGATTTTATATGCATATATACCGTGAAAGGATTCCTCCATCAAGTTAATTAATAAATGTATCACCTCACTTTTTTTTTTTTTTTGTGAGAACATTTAAGTTCTTTTCATTTTTTCTTAATCTTATGTATTTACTCCCATGCTTTTATCTTTTTGTTCTTTGGTATTAGCCATTTTGTCTCCTTTATCTCAAATATAATACGTTTGTTTTTTAAAAGTTTACCTTTTATTTCTCCCATGCTTTTATCTTTTTGTTCTTTGGTATTAGCCATTTTGTCTCCTTTATCTCAAATATAATACGTTTGTTTTTTAAAAGTTTACCTTCTTTTATTTCTTAATTTTGCTATTCGTACTTTTTTCTTAAAATCTTATTTTTTTTCTGTATTTTTGTCTTTTTGTTTGTTATCCTTTCATTCTAATTTAAGTTCCTATTGACTTAGTTTTTTTCATCTCTCTTTTCTTAGGCATTGATTCCTATATGCCTCATGGTTTTGATTTTATAAAGGCTGGAAGGATATGTAATCCTCAGGGGGTAGTAGCAGTGGACAGCCTCATTCAACAAACAGGGAAGATCTGTCTCTCCTCCTCTGCCTGTTGTCTCTAAATAGATTTTTTACGTCTTTGTTTTGTCTTGAGCCCTAAAATGATCACTTGGGGATATATTGATTAAACTGTTTCCCAGGATAGGGATGATTTGCTTGCTTCCTGCAGGGATCACCTGGGAACTTGTGGACTGGCTTTTGGACAGACGTACCACCCACATGGGAAGCTGACTGTTCTGAAACCTCTGGTCTATAACACAGGTTTTGTTACTTAGTGGGAAAAAAAAAAAACGTGGCCTCTGGGATCAGACAGAGGCCTGTAATAGCTCTGCTGTGGGACAGATGAGCTGATTCAGAACCTTTCCCGAGGCTTTTTGTCTGGCTCCAAAAAGGCAAAAATATCTGTCCTTCATAGATATTATATTAATAGTGTGTATAAAATGTTCATTGTGCCTGGCCCATAGTAGTCGCTCAGATGTGGGACAAGCCAGGCCGGCCATATGTGATCTGGAGGAAAGTAAGTAAGCAGGCAGATGATTCCTGAAATGGGGCTCCCCTCGCAAAGCCCGGAGTTAGAGAGAACCATGGAACGTGAATAGTCTTGCTGGGAAGGTCACGTGGCTCTGGGTTCATGTGTCGGCTTCTGGCCTTTCTCCACTTCTGCTGCCTTATGTCATGCCCACAGATTAAGGTAGTCACGGTTTTAACAATTTGGGGATGGTGGTATAGAGGAAAGAATCACTTTACTACGGAGATTGAGTTCATAAGACATAACCGGACTTTCAGAAATATACAATGTGAGAAAAATGCCTGTTAAAAATCAAGGATTTTTATCTGTAGATTGGTCCGTCTTCCTCAGCTGGGTTTTGGGATGATTGTTTCAATGTGAGGGCCTCCTGAACTCAACTTTTATTAAGCTCGGGATTTTATCTCATGGACTGGCAAATCTCTGCTTGAGGTTCTCACCGTCTGACCTGGCCCCCTAGCATAGTTTGCCTCTTGTCCGGTCTTGCCAGAATCCTTGGGAAGAGGAGTCCATTTCATTTACTGCCTTGGGCTCTAAGTCTCTCAAGATGTGACAGGGGTAGGCAGGGTGTCTGGCCTGGAGAGAAGAGCTGTTTCCAGTCTCTAACTTCACAGGAGCACGTGACCAGCCGTTGAACTTCAGGCCATTGCTGACTTTCTGTGCTTTGGTCCCGCAGACCCCTGGTTCCTAAGCATGGCTGCATATTAGCATCCCCTGAGGAGGTAAAAAACGCCTGTGCCTAGATCTCTCTCCCATGGATTCTGTTTTAATTGATCTGGGGAGTGGCCTAGACATCTGTTTTTGATTTTGGGGGATTTTTGGGGAAGCTTTTCAGATGATTCTTACGTGCAGCCCAGGTTGAGGTCGTACCAGCAGACTGCCTTCATGCTTCCCTGGTCAGATCCTGCCTGTGGCTTGAACCCTCTGGCTGCTTCTGTTTACCCCCTTAATGGTACTTCCTACAGACCTTCATCTGGCTGGGGGCTCGGGGGAGGCAGACCGGAGGGCCCTCCAGCCCTGTGCTGGCTTGAGCAGCTCTGCCGGCATCTGTTTCACAGATTGCCCTTTGCTTCTAGAAAGTTTGCAAGCCATTGGCCTTTGGGGACCCAAGTCACCCTTTGTGTGTCAGAGCAGAGCTACTAGGACTGCTTTCTGAAGAGAGCTTGCTTGTACTTTGTTCTGCCTTCTTGTGGCTAACCAACTTAATTTGCAAAATGTGTCACAAGCCTTGCTTCTTACTTAGCTGTAAAGCAAAAAACCTTCCCTTAACTGACTGTGTATTAGTAACGGAATTTGAGTTTCTTGCAGATTTTCACATCAAAGCTTAAAAATTTCAGTTCTCAAAAGCTTAGTTCTAAAATGAACAATCCCGGAGTTAGCCTAACATCTATCTCTAGTTCTCTACTATGGCTTTTTGTATTTTGTGTGTGTGAGGTTGGGGGCTACTGAGTTCTTTCTTCAAAACAGCTGATGAGGCGGGTGAACCGAAGTGGACAGAAAAAGAGCAGGAACTGAGTCCCTGTTCTCCTCCCCTAACCCCGCTCCCAAACCCTCCCCTCACTTTCACGCACAGGGAGCAGGTCAGTCATGACCGCCTCATGTCTTCTTCGAGTCAAGGTACCCCATCGGAGCTTCCCGCTCAGGCCTCACTGTTTGGCCACTTGGTTATGCTTTTCCGTGGACTGTGATTGTGGCTTTTATTATGGGATATTGCCAAAAAAAAAAAAAAAGGATCTTTGGAAGTTGTGAAATATTTTAAAAAAGATTTTATTTATTTATTTGAGAGGGAGAGAGCATGAGAGGGGAGAAGGTCAGAGGGAGAAGCAGTCTCCCCATGGAGCTGGGAGCCCGACCCGGGACTCGATCCCGGGACTCCGGGATCATGACCTGAGCCAAAGGCAGTGGCTTAACCGACTGAGCCACCCAGGCGCCCAGAAGCTGTGAACTTCTAGGAAGGAATTCTGGGGATGTCATTTGCAGGGCTGGGCCACTTCAGAGACTCCAGTGCTGGGCGCGTATGGGAGAGCTTTCTCGGGCTTTGTGTGTTGGGGTGTGTGTTCCTCCCCTGCTGCTGGTCTGCATTACCCCGGGGACACTCTGGCGCTTGGAACTGCCCAGACTTCCCTTTCTGCCAAGCAGATGGGAAACTCGGTGTCAGATCTTTGGCTTCCTTAGAGAAATATCTAGTGCACGAGAGCATGTACTTCCGTGCACCGACTTTACCTCAGCTCTATTTCTTTTCTTAAAATTATTTTCTGTTTGGGGCGCCTGGGTGGCTCAGTGGGTTGGGCCGCTGCCTTCGGCTCGGGTCATGATCTCGGGGTCCTGGGATCGAGCCCCGCATCGGGCTCTCTGCTCGGCAGGGAGTCTGCTTCCCTTCCTCTCTCTCTGCCTGCCTCTCTGCCTGCTTGTGGTTTCTGTCTGTCAAGTAAATAAATAAAATCTTAACAAAAAAAAATTATTTTCTGTTTGGCTTCATGTCCTCTTTCAGTTTTTTTCTTTTCTTCTAAAATACGCAGCCTTGTTAGCCCTGTCATCCTTTTGAGAATAAGCTCATGTACCAATTAGTAAATAAATATTTTAAGGAACTGCCCTTTTTGATATACTCTTCCTACCTCGGTGTTAGCTCTTGGTCTCGCTCTCTGTCATAGGTCATCTGACTGATCCTGCCGCGTGGCTGCCCACCCCCCGCCCCCTGTCTGCAGCCCCTCATCTGCGGAGTAGAGCCCAGCAGCTCTGGGTGGATGGCCTCCCTTAGCAGGAACTGCCTCCGTTTCCCTACCACTGTCCTGTGGCTCGAGCTCCTCCCATTCCCCTGCACTTCTGTAGCTGGGGGTGGCGGGCGGGGATTGCTGCTAGGCCTTTGCTCTCCGTTTCCACTGATCGAAGCCTGTCTCGCTGCTTTCTCTGCTGAGTCCCTTTCCCCTGTGACACCTCTGCTCACGCACTCCGGGCAGAGTCCAGGGCTCCTGGGTGTCCCTTCCTCTCCTGGTGCGCATGTCTGGTTGACTCACCAGGCTGCGGCTCGCCTGGAGGCAGCTTTGTGGAAATTAGGAAAAGGCACCCACCCCTTCCTCCATCACTTTCAGCACTTCCAACTATTGGAAGACCGTCTTAATGAACAGGAGTCTAGGGCGTGTAGCCTGGAAACGGCAGCCTGCGAGGATCGTGCGGCGCCGCACTGCGCAGTTTACTTGATGGCCCTTTTGTGGACCCGCAGCGCTGCTTGTCCGACCGGAACAGGCCCTCAGCAACCGTTCGCCAAACGAAAGAGTGGAAGTCCCAGTACCTGCCATTTTCTTACCACCAAAGATAGCAAGAAAGGCATATATGATAAGACCTTCTTGCACTGAACATTATGGCTGTATTCAGATACATGTATTTTTTTAATGTTTCAGTATTTCTGAAATCAGCAGGTATCTTACAGTCAGCGTGTCAGGGTGGTTAAGAGCACAGATCCGGGGCCTGCCGGGGTCTGAATCCCAGTGCTACCACGTGGACACATGTCTGTGACTTTGGGCACTCTGCTTCACCTCTGTGCCTCAGTTACTGATCTGTAAAATGGGGATGATAACAGTACCTTCTTCATGGGGTGATTGGGAGAGTTAAATGCATTATTCTGTGTGCAGTGCTCAGAATATAGGTGCCAAGCACCTAACAGTGAGAGATAGGTGTTACTTATTATATTAATGTCTATGCATACACTTACTACACTGCTGTTTCTTTTTAACCCTGAGAAGCTATCTTTAGTTACAGTGTACAGCTTCTATTGCTAGCGTCTCATTTTGATGGGCGGCTGCCTGGCCCCAGGCTTACGGGAACTGTGGTCAGACACCTGCTGCGGGTTCTGCCCCCCCTCGCCGGTTGTCTGATCGCCGCGAGAGATACAGAGCCCACGCGCACGCGCAGGAAACCCGCAGGCTTGGCTGTCTCTCCTTAGTAGGGCAGAAGAGAAAGGGGGGAACTGGGGCCCTTTATAGACCAGGCTTGTTTTGAAATTTAAACCTAACTTCTTACTCATGTTGCAAGGCTTGGACTGGTAATAAATTTTGGCTGTCTAAAACTGGAAATCAGAGAGAATGGGTTTGAAAAGTGATTTTAATGTAAAATTTTATCTAACTGCAGCGTACCTTTCCTTTGGTGATCTTCAAGAAAGCTGTGCTGTGAACTGGCGAAGGTAATCAACGCTCTGGGGCCGCGTTCCCCATCAGACTGTCAAGTTAGTCCGTGTAAATTACTCCCTTAACAGTTGCGGGTTTTTCCTGGTCTCTTGGACTGTACCTTCCCGTGAGAGACGGTGGCTCTTCTCCGCGTTGTTTCGGGACAGTTTCCGCTGCAGGCCTCCTGCCAGCTTTAGAAAGTACAGCCTTGCGGGGGGTTCCCTGTGACTCATGCTCACCGCCCCACCCTCCTGACTGCCCTTGGCATCAGGCAAGATCTGAGTCATGCATTTTTCGGAGATGCTCTGACCATTTGCATTATGAGACTAAATGGCTTTTCCCAAATCGCATTGCTGTAACTGACCTACGCTCAGCTCTGGGGAATGTTCTTACATGCTACCCGGCACCGGCCGGCATCGGCACAGCAATCCTGCTACCTGTGTCTGGGGTTTTAGTGGCTTTCTCTTAGTTGAATAAAACTGGATGTAAGTAAATTAATACAAGCATGATCTACAGCTTTATCCTCCCTAATTTGATACATTGATGAAAATCCTTTCCGTATATAAACCTCAATTTAATGTTATTTTAGTGTTGAACAGGTCAACTTTAGCCCTACCTGGGGGTGTGTTTAGTTCTGGGTTCCCAGAAAGAATATCCACATGGGGAACTTTCTCCAACAGGCCTTTTCGTGGATTCATGTACCTGCAGGTTGCAGAAAGGATAAGCAGACTGTTGTTACTACGCTCTGTATTCTAGAAGCTCAAGGAGGGGTGGTGAGGATATAGATACCCTGACTCACAGGTCCAGCCGGCGGAGGAACTGGCGTTCTGGTCAGTTCTCTTGCACGACAATGCCTTGGACCCCTTTATATGTCGCATCAAAGGCTTTGTCCCAAAGAAGCGCATAAATTCTAAGGTTAAGTCTCCAAATGGTGTCATAAGCACTTTTCCTCTTTCCCTTTATATACACTGGGATTTCCATCTCTGTCCAAAATCTCATTTCTTTTTGGAGAAATATCAAGACAGAGGAATTAACCTAAATCTCACAGAGGGTGAGGATGCGGCCCTTGCAGCGTGCGTGGTCGCAGCCCACCGGAAGCCGACACAGAGAATCTGACTCACAGGGGTCTTGTTGATTTTTTGTTTTGTTTGTGTTTTTAGTTGGTTGTCAACATTTAGAATTGGAACAGTTTCCCATTTCTCTCGAGATCCTGGGAGAGCCATTCGGGTTTGGCCCACGTAACCCTGTCGGCTGGAGCCAGGGGGAAGCTGTCCCTTGGCTGCGCGCTGCTCACTCGTCAGTGTCTGCCCTCGTTTGTGTGACTTGTGTGGTCCTGTGGGCATTTGATTGGATCAAATCAAATCGAAGCCAGTGGCCTCCTCTGTTTTACGCAGCCTCGCAGAAAGGCCCAGGCCAGGTGTGGGCAGTGGCTAAACGGCCGCGGGGACGCAGGCCAGCGGCGCCAGGAGGTCCCGCCCGGGGTTCGGACCGGAGCTCGGGCTAGGGTGGGGGTGCGCGCTGAAGTGGCCGAGCGGGCCCCTCTCCATCTGCTCATTCCTCGTCCACGGGGTGGGACATTTTCCCAAAATATGAAAGAAAGCAGCCGGTGACCACGCCAGCCCGTTCGCAGGCTCATCAGACCAGCTCTCGGGACAAAAGGACCCGCTTCCTGTTTACCAGCCGGCCGGGGACAAAGCGGCTGTGCTTCCCGGCCGCGCGGGCTTGGCAGGCAGGCGGGGCCCTGTCCGGAGAGCCGAGGGCGCTGAATGCTTGCTCTGTGCTCCGCGGCGCCCCCGCGGCCTGGGGCCTGGATGCGGGCCACTCTCGGGAGGGCGCCCCCGGTTTGCTCCCCGGCCGGCCCGGCTTTCTGAAAGGACGCAAGCGGGCCCGGTGGCCGCGCCGCCTCGCTTCCTTTGCAGCTTTCCTTTCTCCGCGGGCCCCCACCCCGGCGAAGGCCCTTGGCATAAACCTGAATGTAACAATAAACCCGTGTCTTTTGTTTTCGCGCCTCCAGGAAGCAGCATGCCGTGGGCGTTCGGCCGCCTGGTGCTGTCCTCGGGCGCGCTGGCCGGCGGCAGCTGCGCGCTCGTCTATTACCTGACCCAGAGTGAGTACCGGCCGCGGGCTTCCTCCCGGCTCCCTGCCCCTCTCCCGCCCCAGGGAAAAGCTTCAGAGTTTCCCGCAGATCAGAGAGAGGAGAAGGGAGCTATTTTTAGCAGCCAGGACCCCATTCCCGTGGGCTGCAGCTTCCTGCTCCTCCGGTGATCGGTTTCCCTGGACCTGCAAGTGCAGATAAAAGGCCCAGCTCCGTGGGCGGCCGAGGCCCTGCAGAAAGCCAGCTCGGCCGGCTCGCCAGTGCGCGCGCCAGAGAGCCCTTCCGATTCTGGAGACTCTGTAAAGAGGGGAGGGAGGGGGAGTACCAGATGGTTCACAGGTGGGGAAACCGGCTGTTTCTCAAGGGCCCTCCGCCTCTCTGACCTGCCCCTCTCTGCTGCTGACTTAGTGGAGGAGGGGACTCGAGCAGGGGCTCTGGGGAGAGTAGAAAATAAAAGCAGAGTCCAGGATGTAAAATCCGGACCGAAGCCGCTTCCGGCCCCGCTGCCCCCAAATTTGAATTTGTAAAGACAGGCCGCGGTGACTCTGGCGGCCAAGGCAGTAACGGACATTCCAGTGCTGCTGGTTGCAAAGCAGCCGCGGTTTTTCTCTAGACTTTCTTTGAAGATCCTTTATGCCCACCCAGCTTGGCTTCTCACCCTGACTCTGTGCCAATTTCGCTTCCTGCTGGGATGTGAGTGTCACCAGCATACGGCAAAGAGAGCTCAGTGTCCTCGGCCTCCACTCTGCCCCGCCTCCCTTCAGAGCTGGCCCTCGGGCCTCTGAGTCTCCAGGTGGCCTGCGAGGAGCACCGCCTGGGGTAGATAAGTCAGACAGGAATTCCTGTCTCCACTGCCCCTGCCCGAGGGATGGGGCCAGGACGCAACAGGAATGGATGCGTTTTATGGGTTGGGAGCCTGCCGGCCTTTCCCCCTTCTGAGGCCGGGGTCGGCCAGTAGAGACAGCTGAGACTCCGCACTGGCTGTGTGGCCCCGGGGGGCGGGGGCCTCTCCCCACAGTTACCTGTGTGATGAGGGATGATATCCGTGCCGGTGCCTGAGGTCGTTGTACAAGAAATCTCACAACCTGAGATACCGAGGATTGGAAGCTCTGAAATATTGAGGACAGTGTCTGAGCACGGAAATCGGAGCCAGCTTCTGCTCCCCCTTTTCCTGCCTTGGCTGGCACCTGTTCCTGCCCACAGCCCCCTGCAGGCCCGGTCCTGGGAAGCGGCCCAGGAGGAGCACTGTCCCTGGCATCTCCCGGCTCAGGCTGGCTTTTCCGTCCGTTATGGGGATCGGGCCTACAGGAGTGAAGCTCTTTCTCGGTGCCAGAATGAACGCCGTGCTTGGGAGGCCGACCTTTACCCCTTCCCGAGGGCAGCTTGTCTGCCTTGCACCGCCAGGGCGACGCTTCCTGGAGTTACCAGCAGCCTTCGGGCCGGGGACACACCCGACACTGAGAGAAGTTTAAAAGCTTTACCTGTGGGAACTGTTGCCTTATACCTATAGACTTTGACAAATGAACACTTTCAGTGTCTGTTGCTTGGCTTAAGGGTTTTGCTGTTGAAGTTGTGGTCTTGTTTTTTGGTTGATCAGGACCTTCATCTCGGCGGAAGGGACAGTGTGTAGGAGTCCCGAGTCACAGATCTGGGCCCCAGCTCCGCCGCAGACTAGCCGTGTCACCTGGAGCAGGTCATGAGTCGTAGGACTTTAGAACCGAGAGGGAAGCTAGAGATGATCTGAGCCAAACCTTGAGATGAGGAAACGAGGCGATGCGTGAGGCAGGAAATGAGAGATGGAGAAACTGAGGCACAGAAGGATCCAGTGCCTCGCCCAAGTCCATCTGCCGTGTTCCCCCAGGTGCCTTCTCTGAAATGCAGCGCTTGGAGTCCGTGGTCCCTCGTTATTTTTCCATCCAGAAATTTCACATTTGTTCTGTTTCCGTGCTGTACATGAATTGTATCCTCTAACTTTCTATAGAGAGTCTATGTGACCAAATCTAAAAAAGAAAAGTAAATGTGACAACTGTCTTTCCTCTCTAGAGGCCTTCTCCAAGGCTTCCTATTACCAGCTGGCCCTGGAGCAGCTGCACAGCCGCCCTGAGGCCCTGGAAGCCCTGGGCGCTCCTCTCAGCGTGCACCACCTCCACCTCACCGACAGGGACAACTTCGTGGACATCGCCAGCGCCCGGGTAACGGCTTCCCCCGCGGGCTGCGGCCTGGGCGCCTGGGCGGCCGGCAGAGGACAGGAGAGGCCGCCGGCCGGGGGGGGTGTCTTGGAGGAGGCTGGAGTAAGGGATGGGGTGAGAAAATCACTAAGTCAAGCCACGACTGGGCATTGTGGAGAACCTTCTGGAAGAGCGATGCGGATCAATTCATTGTCCTACGTCCATCTTCCTTTCTGAGGGACCATGGTGGCGGGGAGGGCGTTGTTCTGGCTTGGGTCGCCACCTTGGACTGAGTGTTGTAGGGAAGGGACCGTGGTGGTAGACCACAGCTTCGGCTGGGGACGCGAAGTGCGTCCGCGCCAGTGGGCGCGCCTGCGAGCGGGAGCAGCTCCTTAAACTGTAGTTTTCTCCCTTCCTCGCATTGCCTCCGAGGAATGCCAGCCGCTTTCTTCATGGCTCGTCCTTTCTGGTTCCCCTGATAAACCCACCTGAGTGCAAGTGCGCTCGTCTGTCCACCAAAGTGTCAGAGTCCGCGGCAGGTGAAGGACCGATTCTGGCCGCGTGGGGAATGCAGAGACGCAGAAGGCGCTCAAGGTCTCTGGTGTAAAACGTCCCAGGAAGACGGGGGTGGGGGGACCCCCACACGGGCTGGGGTCTGCGCGCAGAGGAGGGGCTGCTAGGCCAGGGCCCGGCGCACGCAGTTCTTTTTTGGGGGCAGTTTGGGGCGGGTGAGATGTGCCATGTCTTAGCTCGTGAGAGGTCAGAATGTGTACCAAAAGGTTTGCTGGTAATAGCTCCTCCTTTAAAACCCGGGATTTCTTTGTTCTTTTATTATGAAAAGTTTCAAACATACAGAAAAGATAAAAGAATTTACACCGTGGCACCCACGTAACTGCTATCTGGATTCCACGTGTGGAGCTGATCCTTGCCGGACACTGACCCACACGGGCCCACTTAACACCGCGTTTCAGTGCAGCGCGGCACGGTGGATGCATTTGCTCTTCCGTATGATTTTCTCGGCCTTTTTTCCCTCTTACTGGATTGTAAGACTAGAGTGTAGAATACAGATAACACACAAAGTATGTGTTAATCGACTGTCATGTTCTCAGTAAGGCTTCTAGGCAACAGTAGGCTTTTAGTCGTTAAGTTTTGGGGAAGTCAGAAGTTAGATGCAGATTTTGAAATCTTGTTCAAGGGTCGACTGTTATTTTACTTGATTTGCTTTATCCCATAGCTGTTCATCTAGTCCGATCTGTCCATGAACGTTATTTTCAGACATCCATACGCTTCATCTAAACTCATAAGCAACATATCATTAAGCAGAGGTTTTATTTTTATTTTTTTTTTTTGAGGGAAAATTTACCTTCAGGGAAGGATATAAATGTGTCTTATTTGATGAATTTTAATAAGTGCATACACCTGTGCAACTCAGGCCCCCACCTAGATGGAGCCTGTTCTCATCGCCTCAGCGTGCGCACGCTCTTCCCAGCGGGTCCTCTCACATCCCTCAGCCCCGCTGGTGACAGTCACTTTTCTGATACTTTTTCCAACATAGTTTAGCCCGTTCCGGAACCGGAAATTGTGCGTTCCATACTTCCGGGCCTTTGACATCCGTGTTGCCGCGTGGAGCTGCGGTTTGTTCTCTCGTAGCAGTGGCTTTCCGGGTATCACCGTAAGTGCCCAGACCCTTGAGCCTGCCAGCGAGAGGGCTGCCACTGACCTCACCAAACCGTCTGGAGAGGGGCAGGACGTTTGGATGGAGCCGGATGGAAAATCAGGGGAAATTCTGCAGCTAGGCCGTCCGAAAACAGCCGATTCCGTGAACGATCATTGGACTTCTTAGGGTTCACTCTACAAACATTTTTTCATTTCCTTAGAGGACAACAATCCAATTGTATCTCACATTTTTCACCCCCAGCTGAAGATTCCGGTCTCTGGCTCCAAGTCCCAGGGTCTTCTCCACGTCCACTCATCCCGAGACGGCCCCTTTCAGAGGTGTGTGGGAAGGTGGGTGGGAATGGGGGAGCAGGAGAACTTTCTGACGGAAACGATCCTGATTCCTATTTTCATTTGTAGCAAAGTGATTGCCATAATAGCAGTTTGTTTTTCAAAGCTTGGGGTCCAGGCTGTGAAACTTTCCAAGCCAGCGTGCTGGCTCTCAGCTCAGTCCAGACATTTTATCCAGTACAATCTCCCGAAGAGCCTCTCCTTGAAGAACGTCACAGTTACGGTGTCCAGATCTCCGGTAATTGCTGCTGTGCAATACCTTCTCACACGCCGGCCTCGGTCACGGCAGATGAATAAAGTCATGGGTTCCTGTTCCAGAACGATTCATCCCATCCCTTATATTAGATCCCCACCCCATTAATTGGCTTTTCTTGTCTGGTTGCCAGTAGCTACATTCGCTCATTTCCCCCTCGGGAAGCCTCCCTCCGCGACGCTTGCCGTTGAGCCGCGATGGGTTTGAATTCTCGAGGACAAGAGAGCAGGCAGCCCTCGGGCAGCCCCCACCCGGTGCCCCCTGGGCTCGTGGACCCCTGAGCCCGGGATTAATGAAGGAGCTGGCGGAGCTCCAGCGCAGCATTGAAGGTGGCTGTGAACTAGGAAGCGGGGAATAAGCCGCCCCAGCTCTTCCCCGGTGCCCCTTCCATTCACCCGTCAGTCATTCTTTGCTGAACTTGCTTGACAGCGACGCTGGTTAAACAACGAGTCCATCAGACAATGTTCCAGCGTTATGGTAACGTAGCTGCAATATACAACAGTGTTTAAAACTTTTAAGATAGTATTCAAAAATCAACTTTGTTTTTTTCCTTTCCTGGCCATGTCTGTTGCCTTGGTGTGCGTGAGTAGAGACTTTTCTTCTGCTTTTTCTCAGGTGGCGCCTTCAGGAGGTCGTCTTAAAGCTTCAGGATGGTCAGCAGATTCCCGTGTTCAAGCTCAGTGAGAACACGGGTCATGAAGTAGAAAACAAGTAGAGATGATCGAAAAGACTGGGCTCCCTCCAGACACCGTCTTACCTCGTCACCGCGTGCCCTCGTGGCTGCGAGCCAGGCGTCCCGCCGCCGGGGTGCTTGTGTGCGCCGGCATGTGGTAATTCTGGTAGGATTCTAATTCGACCACAAGTATTGTGGATTCTTTAATTTAGTTAGAAACGGAAATCGTACTCTAAATTTGTAAGAGTCTGTTTGAAAGTTTGCGGTCTAAAAAAAACAAAGTACAGAATGCCAGGAACCGGTACTAATAAGATGTTAATTTCGGCTAGTTCTCATCTCTCCTTTCTCCTCACCCACCCCCTCCCCATGGTTTTCAGTTCCGACAGTGAGACCAGGACTTACTGGCACCGAGGAGGTCTTTAATTGTTAACACTAGAATGCCCTACCCTGAATTCATGTTGCTAAGTAGCTTGTGAACATTCCCAATCCCTTAGGCGTTTTTTTTTTTTTTTTGGCTTCACTGCTGTTGTTTTTATCTTACTTCTCTTTTAGTTACCAACTGTGTGCCTGATTGAAGATTTGCAAAATAACTGCTTTAATCCAGACATTTTGGAAGCTTAAACTATTTATGTGTACATAGCACATGCGAAACTAAGTTAGGAAAGCGTAGTTTAAAGCTAGCAGGTCCTTATCCTTCTGTTTCATACACGACCCCCTATTCGAGAAGCGCACCTTTAGGTTTTATCTGTTTTATAAGGGAACAGTATTAGGAAGTCAAAGCTCTATCCTTTCCTCTGAGCACCGGAGCTGATGAAAACCAGAAATCTGATACCTTTGCTTTGAAAAGGCCAGTTTTACCCCCTTGGTGTTATTAGGCTTAATGTGGTTATAATTGCCTACAATAAAGGACATTCATGAGCTCTTTTCCTGCATTCTTCATATTCCTTGAGGGAAGCCTTTCAGAAAATATTGAGCTTAAACAGGCTGGTAGACCATGAGGCCTTTAATCGTTGGAAGTTACGTCTATTCTGGAGCTTGTTTCTTTAAAAATACACAATCTTTGAATAGATTTTAGAGTGAAAAGTGAGTCTTTCCCTGAGAGCACTTTTGCCCTGTGTTTATTGATAAACATCACAATCTGTACAATCTTTCAAAGTAAATGGTAACATTGGATACACAGTTTTATGCTGCTTTATTCTTTAAAAGTTAATACTGTTGATTGGATATGTGTCGGTGTGTGTTGCTTTGTACCGGACTGTTCTCTGACTTTGGTTCCTTTCAGTGTTTGCTTGTCTTTCATGCTGTTGCCAAATCACAGGAAACCCAGGCCTGGGTGGACCATCTGTCCTGAAGTCAAAGCAAGTGCCAGTTGTTGTTTGTGTAGAGCTTGAATTAAGAGACTTTCTAAGCTAACTGACAGGAAATACTATCCTAGCAGGAGAGGATCCTTGATTTCTATTCGAAGGCACCATCTTGGGTGCTTTTCCCGGTTAAGTTTGCTTCCACGTATGCACTTCTTACCTTCTTGTATGATGGCGAACGGGCCAGAGCTTGGGTCTTCGCAGTAGACAGACCTTGTCTTTCCTTGCTTCGAGCAGAGCGGCGACGTGTATCCGCAGCCCACGACGCCCTGTGTATCCAGTCATCGCCGTGCCTCAGCCGTTGCCTCCCGTGAGCTACCGTGAGGACATCTTGTAATCCATATTGTCATCAGAGGACAAAGCAACTCGTCCCCATAAGCAGTTTGAGGAAGTGCCCCTTGCATACCCTGTAACGGACAGGACAGCCCGGGGACTGGAGAAGGGGCTTCACTAGAATCACGAGAGTCAAGACCGTGCAAGAGAGCGCACACAGCCAACAACGTCACGGCCAGCAAATGGTAGCACGACTCCCCTGTGCCTCCTCTGCAAGATGCGGCTCGTGCTCGCCCCTGTAAGTTGCCGACAGCTGGCGTGCTGCGTGCGTGGGGAGGGACTGGAGAGCTACAGCGTACTGGGATACTGTGCCAAGAGCGTTTCCAGCAGTGGTGTCAAAATGATGTGAAAGAGCGAGTTACCGTTCAGGAGGAAGTCTCGGCGCGGTGCTCTGATGCGCCTGGAGATCTGAGATTTCACACAAGTGGAGAGAGCAACCCAGGGCAAGGCCTCGGCAGGACGCGTATGAACTGCGCCCCAGAACTAAGATGCCCAGTTGGCCAGGGTGAAGCTTAGCTGAAGACCTCGTAAAAGAAAGCCCTGGAAAGGTGAGCTGGCTCGAGCACGTGCCAGCGTTAGCATTTTGCAGGTGGCCGTTAGAGATTTTGGCGTAAGCACTGGACTCTGCAGTTAATGAAGGTTTAAGCGCCCCTGAGGAATGTGTCCTGACAGGGCTGGTGGTAAATGTGTGCTTTATTGACAGTCCTGTCCCTCACGCCGGTGTGTGAGAATGGGCTTCCTTCTGCCTGTCTTCCCTTCGACCACCCCCCAGTCTGGAGATTAAACGCCACCCGAACAGACCAGGTGTGAGACTCCTGGTCTTGGTAAAGTTGCTTACAGCAAAGGTGAAGCTGAAATAAATTTCCTGTACAGGAAACAAACAGCCAGCACTTGGCAAATAGAGATCTGTGGCTTCCGGTGTAGCGGAAAGGGCGAGGTGATGCTCGGTAGGCAGCGGCTCCAGCCTTTCCTGAGGGCAGCCGGCTGGTTCCAGTTTGTCTGTGTGGAAAATAAGACTCGATCCTTCCCAAGCACCTGCCTTACAAGTGAGACCATGTTTACACCTGCTTGTCGGGCCGCTTGGGCAAAAGCGGCTGGTCCACCCAGGACGCCTGAGGACTGCCGGGGTCAAGGAGACGGCGGAAGGATGTGGGGAGACCTCCAGCGCCCACCCACAGGATTCTCGCCCCCTCGCTGACCTGTTCATGTCCTGACTTGGGCCGACTGCAGCAGAGCCGTTCAGTTGAAAGTACGGTGAGGAACATGAACCGATGATACTTCACGTGGAGAACCCAAAAGATTGCACCCCAAAGTACTAGAGCCCTACAGCAGTTCAGTAACGTGGCAGGCAGCACGATCCCCGCACAGTTGCTTTCTTTTACACTAACCGCGAAACTGTAGAAAGGGAAATTAGAGAATGGATTCTGTTTACGGTAGCACTGCGAGATGCCTGGGGATAAACCGAACCAAAGAGGTAAAGGATCTGTACTTGAGAACTATAGAACACGCATGAAGGAAACTGAAGACGACACAAAAAGAGGGAAGAGCATTCCGTGCTCATGGATCAGAAGAATGAACATTGGTAAAATGTGCTGCCCAGAGCACTCTGTACTTCCAGTGCCGTCCTCATCAAAATACTACCGGCGTTTTTCAAGATGCTGGAACAGTCCTAAAATGTGTATGGAACCGGAAAAGACCCTGAATCACCAAGGAAATGTTGAAAAAAAAAAAAAAAAAAGCTGGGAGTGTCCTGTTGCCTGATTTCAAGCTTTATTACAAAGCTGTGATCACCCAGACAGTACGGTACTGACAAAAGCGGACACGTAGGCCAGTGGAACAGAGTAGAGAGCCCAGATACGGACCCGCAACTGTATGGTCAACTCATCTTCAACAAAGCAGGAAAAAACATCCAATGGAAAAAGTCTTTTCAGTAAATAGTGCTGGGAGAATTGGACAGCTATATACAGAAGAATGAAATTAAGCCATAAACTCAAAATGCATGAAAGACCTCAATGTGAGACAGGAATCCATCAAAATCCCAGAGAAGAACACAGGCAGTAACCTCTTCAACACTAGGCACAGCAGCTTCTTTCAAGACAGGTCTCCAAAGGCAAAGGAAACCAGCCCAAAAATGAACTTTTGGGACTTCATCAAGATCAAAAGCTTCTGCACATCCAAGGAAACAGTCAACAAAACAAAGAGGCAACCCATGGAATGGGAGAAGATATTTGCAAATGACACTACAGACAAAGGGCTGATATCCAAGATCTATAAAGAATTCCTCAAACTCAACACTTAAAAAACATAATCATGGGGGTGCCTGGGTGGCTCAGTGGGTTAAGCCGCTGCCTTCGGCTCAGGTCATGATCTCAGAGTCCTGGGATCGAGCCCTGCATCGGGCTCTCTGCTCAGCAGGGAGCCTGCTTCCTCCTCTCTCTCTGCCTGCTTGTGATCTCTCTCTGTCAAATAAATGAAATCTTTAAAAAATAATAATAATCATGTCAAAAAATGGGCAGAAGACATGAAGACATACAAATGGCTAAGAAACACATGAAAAAATGTTCATCATCACTAGCCATCAGGGAGATACAAATCAAAACCACACCAAGATATCACCTTACACCAGTTAGAATGGCCAAAATCAACAGGACAGGAAACAAGTGTTGGAGGGGATGTGGAGAAAGTGGAACCCTCTTACACGGTTGGTGGGAATGCCAAGTTGGTGCAGCCACTTTGGAAAACAGTGTGGGGATTCCTTAAGAAATTACAAATAGAGCTACCCTACGGCCCTGCAATTGCACTACTGGGTATTTACCCCAAAGATACAGATGTAGTGAAAAGAAGGGCCATCTGTACCCTAATGTTCATAGGAGCAATGGTCACAGTCGCCAAACTATGGAAAGAACCAAGATGCCCTTCAACGGATGAATGGATAAAGAAGATGTGGTCCACCTATACAATGGAATATTGCTCAGCCATCAGAAAGGATGGATGCTCAACTTTTGCATCATCCTGGATGGGACTGGAGGGGATTATGCTGAGTGAAATCAGAGAAAGTCAGTTATATGGTTTCACTTACTTGTGGAACATAAGGAATAGCATGGAGGACAGGAGAAGGAAGGGATAAATGAAGGGAGGGAAATCGGAGGGGGAGACGAACCATGAGAGATGGTGGACTCTTGAGAAACAAACAGGGTTTTAGAGGGGAGGGAGTGGGGATTTGGGTGAGCCTGGTGGTGGGTACTGAGGAGGGCACGTACTGCACGGAGCACGGGGGGTTATATGTAAACAATGGATCTTGGGATACTACATCAAAAGCTAATGATGTACTATATGGTGGCTAACATAACATTTTAAAAAATCAGGAAAAACTTGCATTTTACAATCCAGGGTAGGAAAGTGGGAGATGAAAAAAACAGGCCTCTCAGATACAGGTCTATATCACAGATCACATACAGTGTGTAGTGTCTTTTATCACTAAATAATAAGCCTTAGAGGCAGAAATTACTTTTCCTCCACCACATAATACTTTAAAAAAAAAAGCTCTTAAATTTAGCTACCCTGTTAGTGTCAGTTA